GGTGTGGGGTTGAGAGATAGATTTGTGTGTCGTCGGCATATAGGTGGTAGTTGAAGCCGTGAGAGTGTATGAGTTGGCCAAGGGAGGAGGTGTAGATGGAGAAGAGAAGGGGCCCGAGGACGGAGCCTTGAGGGACCCCAACAGAGAGGGGGAGTGAGGGGGAGGTGGTAGCATTATAGGTAATGATGAAAGAGCGTTGTGACAGGTAGGATGAGAGCCAGGAGAGAGCAGAATCTCTGAGGCCGAGGGAGTGTAGTTTTTTGAGGAGGAGGGGGTGGTCGAGAGAGGTCAAGGAGTAGGAGCACTGAATAGCGGCCATTAGCTTTGGCGATTAGCAGGTCGTTTGAGAGTTTGAGTAAGGCAGTTTCGGTGGAGTGTAGAGGACGGAAGCCGGACTGTAGGGGGTCGAGGAGGTTGTTGTCATTGAGGTGAGAGCATAGGCGGGTGTAGACTACGCGCTTGAGGAGTTTGGATGTAAATGGGAGCAGGGACATGGGTCTGAGGTTGTTTGGGTCATTGGGGTCCAGGGAGGGCTTTTTAAGTATGGGGGTGATGTGTGCATGTTTCAGAGGGGAGGGGAAAGTGCCGGAGGAGAGGGAGAGAATAAAGATGTGGGTGAGGGAGCGTAGGATGGAGGGGGAGGGAGGTCGTAGGAGTTGTGAGGGGATAGGGTTGAGGGGGCAGGTGGTGAGGCAGGCATCAGAGAGGATCTCGGAGACTTCCTCGATGGTAGAAAGGTCAAAGGTGTGAAGTGTTGGGGGGGCTTCAGTATGAGGAATGAAGGGTGGGGTGGAAGTGGAGGTCAGAGCAGTGGTGGGGCCGTGGGAGAGGGGTGATGAGGGGGTAGCTGAGTGAGGGGGAACGGAGTTGGAGGGAGTTTGAGCAGCGACGAAGTCCCTGCGGGTTTATACAGGGGTTAAAATTTCGAGTCCACACCGACTAGCCGATCACAAAACTTACTCTCCACCAGTTGCCCCACCCAAAATTGCCCAGGTCCGCCCCCAACCCCACCCCCGCCCGCCCCCAACCACGCCCCCTTAAAGCTTATGAAATTAAATTTTTCTTTAGAATAAAGAGTCCAAAATATAAAACTGTACACAGTAATGTATATCACAGCTCTCCTGTACTCCGTTATAGTGATATGACATGTTGTATACAATACTTACTCCTAGTCCCCCTGAGTCCACCTGTGGCGGTGGAGAGGGTGTCTCCTCTCAGCGGAGCCGAAGAAGCCGGAAACCGGAAGTTGTAAACCAGAACTCGGCTTCACAATGAGGTTTGAAGCGCAGGTGCAGTCGCTCCATGCTTCATCAGTGCTCGCTGCTCGCCGCTCGCCACAGAAGAATTTCTCCTCGCATTTGGCGAGCGGGCTAGTGGCTTTTTCAAGCCTTGTGTATATATATATATATATATAATAAATATATATATATAAAAACGTAATGTAGATGTACATTTTAAGTGCATTAACAATTATAGATTTTTTTTTACATTAGAGGATCATTCCAGTCAATGCATTCAGAGAACATGGGCTACCTACATAGTACTTTGGTTTTTCTTGCTGACATTGCTGTACCACACCAGTCCTCCTATGTCAGTTATTGGTTGATTTAAGTATCCCAGTTTGTGATGAAGGAAGGAAATATTCCACTTACTCAGACCTCAAATGTTGCAGTGACCTGTCTGGAGGATAGTACAGATGCTGTACAGAGCACAAAGAACATTGCTGAACCTTACCTTATTCTTTATGAGAGGAACTATTGAAACAGTAACTCATTTGTGGTCTGAATGGGGGAAATTCTACACAGTGAAACATAGGACTGAACCACCAATGTTATGAGGTTCAGGGAAGGGGGGGGGGGGGGGGTAGAGGTAATGGGGGGTTATATTTGGCCACATAAAAAAAAAAAAAAAAAACCACCACACCCACCTATGGTATACACATACACACACATTTATCCACCAAGTTTGTGGAACAGGAGTAAAAGTTTAAGGCTCCATCCACACTGACATTGTTTTAAGCTAAAAAAAATACTGGTAATTGCGTTTTTTAGGTTCCATTCACACTAGCAGTTCTTTTTAATAGCTCCTAGAAGCTATTATCAGCATATTTTTTTCTGCTCCTAGAAGCTAGTGTTATCCTATGTGTCCTTGCACACTGCTTTATGCTATTAGCATTTTGTGTGCTTCAGCATCTAGGAGCAGAAAAAAATTTGCTTTTTTTGAGCTTAAAAAGAAAACGCAAGTGTGCATGGAGCCTAAGTACTGTTTTAGTAGAGTTTAGAAGCATTTAAGAGCGTTAACATTTTATTAGCGTATTTACAGAACATGTAGAAAAAAGCTGCTAGGAGTGTTTTAGTAGCATTTAGGAACGTTTCGGTTTTTTTTTCTACTGGAAAAACGCTCCAAAAACTCTACAAAACCAAATTGTTTTCTGCTCCTAGACGCTGAAGCTCAAAAAACGCTACTAGCGTAAAGGTAGTGTGTATGGACACATAGGGTAATACAATTTAACTTCTAGGAGCAGAAAAAAAAAATGCTCCAAAAACTCTACAAAACCAAATTTGTTTCTGCTCCTAGACGCTGAAGCTCAAAAAACGCTACTAGCGTAAAGTAGTGTGCATGGACACATAGGGTAATACAATTTAGCTTCTAGGAGTAGAAAAAATGCTAATAACAGCTTCTAGGAGCTTAAAAAAATGCTAGTGTGCATGGAGCCTTAGAATGTACGGTGCAACTTTTAGCTCCATACAGGCTGGATATACTAAATGTAAAGGGGGGGGGGTATGGGCACAAATACAAGATATAAGAAGGTTACCAGAAAAAAAAGTTCCAGATGCTCAAAGGCAATGAGCAAAACCCAGTCCACACCAGGGAGCTACAAGCACTAAAAGCAGACGGGTCAGGATGCCAGCCACAAACTAACAGGATGGAGAAGTCTTCTTGCCAGCTATTGGGGCCATAAAGAGAAACAACTAAACAGTCTTAATGTTGATCACTTTGAGTTATTACTTACCCTAGGTACACACCTAAGCATTTTCAGAATGCTTTCTGAATTTTGCAGAAACACAGTACAGTCCATTTAACATGATTTCCTATGGGACATGTTCACATCTTCGCGTTTTCACCCAGTGTGTTTTTTGGAAAGGGTCAGGGACTTTTTTGAATGCAAAAAGTTGCGTTTTTGGTTCTATAGACTTCAATGGAAATGCTGCAGAAAAGCATGTAGTGCATTTTTGCTGTTTTGTTTATGTGTTTTGTGTTTTAAATCTCTGCCTAGCCAAGAAAAATGTGAAAAAATTAAAACAAAAAAGCAAAATGCATCAAAAACACATCAAAAACGCAGGTGCAAAAATGCAAAACGCAATGAAGAAATGGGTCAAACGTAACCTGCATATGTGTGAACCTAGCCTTAGATTTGGTCTTTAAAGAAGAAGTATCACCATTAGAAAATCTTGTTAAATCCCCCAGGGGGTCCCTGTGCACATAGTTTTTGTCCACATTAACATCCGAGCAGTGGAAGAAAATAATTCTTTATTTTTTTGTCATTGCTGACTTTAGCTCAGCCGCTGCTGAAGCTTTCAGGCCTCATGCACACAGGATATTTTAAAAAACACTCCACCTCTTGGCAGCAGCGTTTTGACAGAAAAAACACCTGACACTTTTCAAAATGTCTAACGTTTTTTACATGCGTTTAGGCTTGTTTACAAGTGTCAAGCGCTTGGGCGTTAATTAATTTAATTGGCCAGAATAATAATTTATCTGGCCATTAAAATGAATAAACGCTTTTAATGCTAAACGCACCTAGTGCTAACACACGTTTAGGTGTGTTTAGGCATGTTTACATGCGTCAAGCATTTTCTCTGAGAAACAGGGGTGGACTGATAACTCATGGGGCCCCCGGGCAATAGGGGATCATGGGGCCCCTGTGTCCTTGCCCAAACTCAAAAAAGCCTATGAAAAAGGTACCAGGGGCATCTCATGGGGCCCCCTACTGACCCCGGGCCCTCGGGCAGTGCCCGAGTTTCCAAATGGTCAGTCCTGCTGCCAAAACACTGCTGCTCCTGGGTTTTTTTCCCCTGGTAAACACTACTGCTACTAAAGGTTTCAAAGTCCTCATGCACACTGGACGTTTTTACAGCGGCTGTTTTTGGCTTTTGATGTTTTTTTCTACAGCTAGTAAACCCCCCAGCGTGTTATCCTGTGTCCAAGCACACATAGACTGTAATCAATGTTTTTTGACTGGAAAAAAACTAGTGGGTTTCTAGAGGAGTTTTTTAGCTGTACAAATGCTCTAATGCTGAAAAACGTGGCAAAACGCGGTAAAATGCCACAAACTGGTGTTTTTTGGACTTTTTTGACCAAAAAAAATTTTCTTTTTTGGAAAAAAATGCTAAAAAAGCAATTGCGGGAAAACGTGGGAAAACACCACTACACGTGGCAAAACTCTGCTAAACGCTACTGAAAAACTGCTAAAAAAAGCTGAAAAACTCAAGTTTTTAACGTGACTTTACACAGCTAACATTACCAGCGTTATCAAAACATCCAGTGTGCATGAGAACTAAAAGTCTATGGGGTTTATTTACTAAAGCTGGAATACTCAGAATCTGGTGCACCTGTGCATGGTAGCCAATCAGCCTCTGACCTCAGCTTGTTCAATTAAGCTTTAGCAATAAAACCTGGAAGCTGATTGGTTTCTGTGCAGAAGTACACGAGATTCTGAGTGAACCAGCTTTAGTAAATAAACCCCTATGTGTGCACACATAGAATAGCATGGAGGGCTGTTTGGAAGCAGTATAAAAAATCCTGACACCCCTAAAAATGACTGCAAACGCCCTGCGTTCATGAGACCTAAAAATATGGGCATTCCCAAGGAGGGAGTAACAGTCAGCACCAGGGGCGGACTGACCATTTGGGAACTCGGGCACTGCCCGAGGGCCTGGGGTTAGTAAGGGGCCCCATGAGATGCCCCTGGTACCTTTCATAGGCTTTTTTGGGTGTGGTTTGAGTGTGGGTGAGGACACAGGGGCCCCATGATCCCCTATTGCCCGGGGGCCCCATGAGTTGTCAGTCCACTCCTGGTCAGCACTGAGATCCAACCCTGTCAGACACTGCCTGGCGGTACCTCTAGCGATCCACAGGACAGGATTCCCCAGGGCGCAGGGTCTAAACCCCAGTCTGCTTGTTCACCAGGGCCCCTGATGGTGGGGATGGACTTGGAGCAGACAGAGACCAGGTCACGGCCCCTGAGTACACCCGCCTGTGGTAGAGGGATCCGCCAGAGGTATATACTGGTAGAGAGCCTGACGTGAAGAGGCGGATAGGCCTGAGCAGGGGTGACCGGATCCGTACAGGATGGATGGATGGCAGGGTAGAGAAGCGTGGTCAGACAGGCCGGTTTGGTAACAGTGGGGACAGTACAGTACAAGGCAGCAGACAAAGAGTAGTCAGGTCACTCGCCGGTTTCGGTAACAGGAGTTCAGATCAATAGGGATATCCAGAAGAGTATTCAAACGAGCCAGGGATCAGAGCAGGAGATAGTCAGCAGAGGTCAGGATCAAGCAGAGTCGGCAACAAGTCAATCAGCAGGAACACAAGAGCAGGAACAGGGTAATAAGACCATACAGCAACTAGTGTCTGTGCAGGGCTGGTTTAAATAGTGCGCCCTGTGCTGTCATTGGTGCCAGGCGTGCGTCCACAATCGCGAGTGCGCATGCGCGGCCGCCGCAGCTGCCTAGGTCCTAGCGCCTGCCGATTTGAGCGCATTGGTGTTCTGCGCATGCGCAGACCCGTGCGCCGCCGTGATTGCTGACAAACCCTCTCTGTTTTGCACTGTTGTGGCTCCTCCTCTTTCCTATTTAATTTACACAGAGTCCAGAGCTGCAGCCCACTGTTCGAGGCACAGAGAGTGGAAACTGTCAGCTTTTGTTGTGAATGACTGCAGCTGGGAATGAGTGCCTTCAGTCACAAAAACACAAGCTGACAATAGCATATAATGGCTACTACTGTTCTCTGAGTCCGCCTAGTGTTGTACCTGTCTTGTGCTGTTGTCAGCTTGTGCTTTTGTGAATCAAACCTTTTCTCCAGCAGCATTGCCTGCAACAGGCTGCAGGTCCAGACAAGAGATAAGGGGACAGCACAGCAATGTTTTGTCTGGCAGTTTAAGAGGAGGGCAATATTTTGTGGCCTCTGTGTGCGCTGCCTGTCACACTCTCTTCCCTACTGACCTGTCAAGAGGTGATCATTGTTGTTGAATAGCTAGGTGGGTGGCGCCAGCTATCTGACAACACAGCTCAGCAACTCCTGCATGGATTTTGATAGGGACAAGTGCTGGGGGGGGGGGGGCAAGGTGATCTGTCATGGCATTTATTTTACCCTCTTTTTAAAACACTCACTGTGTATAGCAGACAATGGTGGAAAATACAAATATAATATTAACATAAATATTAACAGGATGGTGACAAGCCTTTTCGCTTTCCACAAAAGCTGTAGGTGACTTCTTCTCTGAAAGTTGTGTGCCGGGGATGAAGAAAAAGGAGTTTCCAAGCAACCTCTGTCAGCTTTGTAAAGGTGATGAAAAAGGAGATAACAAGTGTGAAAGCAAGCCTGAGGAACGATACTATGGATATGACGGAGCATTCAGGTAGCAAACACACAACGCCTGTAGTATTTTCATAATAATGGCGGAGAAAAATGAGATCTTAAAGTGTTACTAAACCCACAACAGTAAAATCAGTCTGCACATGCAGTAAGGCATGCTTGGTATACTCACTGTGGAACCTAAGGGGTTAATCATCTGCATTGTATAAAAATGCTGTTTGATTCTGACTTCTCTGATCCTCCCCTTCTTCCAGTGTCCCCCTCTTATCTCCTGATAAGACATATCGTGTGGAGTCACTCTGCACATGCTCAGTTTGGTGTGTATTGCTAGAGAGGTTTTTTTCTTCCTGGGAGAGTGCATAGAATGCATGAAGGTACAAAAACCTTCAGGTTTACAACCACTTGTGCTATCCCATTAGTGAAGCAACACAGAGTAACCAATCCGAATTCAGTGCTGATGTTAGACCACAAAAACAAAAAACACAAAATGGATTCCGATTTGTTGCTATTTATTACTGAACTTATGAAACCACACTACTACTCACAAGTAGGCCGCTCTGACAAAAAATGGTGGCACTCAGATAAAGTATAAGCAAGACTCCAAAAACACTTATTTAGTAGCCACTTCTACTGAGCAAAACCTTGGACAGAGGGGTGGCGGGGGACGTGGTATACTTGGATTTTGCAAAAGCATTTGACTCCGTTCCCCACACATGGCTAATGTGTAAGGTGAGGTCTACAGGCTTGGAAAAAATCAGTATGTAAATGGATAGAAAACTGGCTAAAAGATCGTATTCGGAAAGTAGTAGTTAATGATTCATACTCTGAATGGTCTGGGGTCATCAGTGGTGTACCCCAATGCTCAGTGTTGGGACCCTTACTTTTTAATATATTTATAAACAATATAGGGTCTGGGATTATAAATCCCATTTCAGTGTTTGCAGATGACACCAAGCTGTGCAGTGGAATAACATCCTTACAGGATGTCTCCAATTTACAAGCCGACCTCAATGCACTGTTTAATTGGGCAACTATGTGGCAAATGAGGTTTAATGTTGATAAATGTAAGGTTTTGCACTTGGGGGCTAAGAATATGCATGCATCATACATACTAGGGGGGGCACAACTGGGGGAATCAATGGTGGAGAAGGATCTGGGAGTTCTGGTAGATCACAAGCTTAATAATGGCATGCAATGCCAAGCTGTGGTTTCTAAAGCGAGCAGCAAAAATTCTCTCTTGTATTAAAAGAGGTATAGACTCCAGAGAGAGATATCATATTACCCCTGTACAAATCATTAGTAAGACCTCATCTGGAATATGCAGTTCAGTTTTGGGCACCAATTCACAAAAAGAACATTGGGGAACTGGAGAAAGTACAGAGAAGGGCAACCAAACTGATAAGAGGCATGGAGGAGCTCAGCTATGAGGAAAGATTAGAGGAACTGAATTTATTCTCTCATGAGAAGAGGAGATTAAGGGGGGATATGATCAACATGTATAAATACATCAGTGGTTCAAATAGTGAACTCGGTGTAGAGTTATTCACCCCAAGGTCATCACAGAGGACAAGGGGGCATTCTTTACATCTGGAGGAAAAGAAATTTAATCTCCAAACACAGAAAGGTTTCTTCACAGTTAGAGCTGTGAAAATGTGGAACAGACTCCCTCAAGAGTTGGTTCTGGCCAGCCCAGTGGATTGCTTTAAAAAAGCCCTGGATTCTTTCTTAGATACACAGAATATAACTGGATACTAACATTTATAGGTAAAGTTGATCCAGGGAATATCCGATTGCCTCTCGGGGGATCAGGAAGGAATTTTTTCTCCTGCAGGAGCAAATTGGATCATGCTTTGCTGGGTTTTTTTTGCCTTCCTCTGGATCAACTGTGGGTGTAGGATTATAATTTTTTTTTTTAATGGTTGAACTGGATGGACTTTTGTCTTTTTTCAACCAGACTAACTATGTAACTTCTATATAGCTTACCTAAGATGCTAAACCTTGACCAAAAAATGGGTTTCTTCTTTTTTTCTTGCGAAAACTTTTCAAATGTGTAGTTTTATGCCAGTCACATCTGAGAAATGCGATCCATGCTGATGGATTATTACTGTATGAATCTCACCTATTTAAATATGTTTTTACCTCAGAAGGAAAGGCATATATTTGGGTGGCTTCTGATCACTAGGATCATAATATATAGAAACCCAGTTTTAGGATGCACTGGAGTAAATAAGTCTTTTTGCTTTTTTGGTTTCAAAAATCTTGATACATAAATGGCTAGAATCTGCTTGAGTATATAGACTGTACCCACACAAATGATAGCAGCTTGTAAATGGGAACAGAGCCCAAATCCTATGCTTTGGATATATTTATTACTCTAAATGTAAAACGCATCGAAAGAGAACCATTCGACATCTGATGTGAAATTTGTAGAAGTGTGCATGTAGCCTTAGGCTTTGAGACATTTGTATGTGTATAAAAAGTACATTACAATAAGGAACAATATACCAGTGTAGGGCACATACATACTACTATTTCAGTCATTTATCCAGGGTTTATGACAGTGAATATTTATAACATGCTAAGCATAATGCATTTTGTACATTCTTGCAGCTTTTACCAAAAATGAACAATTTTTTTTTCCTATGTATTATTGTAGGTGTTTGATAGAAGTAGGAGATGTGGCATTCGTGAAGCACACAACGGTTTTTGATCATTCTGACGGTATTTATCTGACTGTATACATTACCTTTTACAAATTACAAAGCAGTGGAAGAAGACCTGTCAGATGCCATTTCAGTGGCATGTCTGGAAAGTGTGGATCGATGTCTGCTGCTGCGTTGCTTCATTTATGTCAATTTGCCATCCTATGATCTGGCAAATTTAATTTTCAACGATCACTGTTGCATTAATTATTCAATTTAACTGCTTCTTTTAGCACATCTGATTCAATAGTATTGGACAATTATAACCATAATTCTATTATACCAAAACTACAAATAAAAATGATAAAGTAGCAAGGAAAATAAACTTCAGGTTGCATGCAAACAGATGTATTAAATTATTCGCATCTACGCTGGATCTTTCTGCCAGGAGCTGGCAGAAAAATTCTGTGTAAATAATGCTCTTTTTGGCATGTAATTACACGTGCTTATACACATTAGGAAGCATACGGTGTCTAGAAGCATACACCCATAAACGTATTATATTGGCTGGAATATTCATTTACATTAGCCACTAGAATTAATGTACTCACATACGTGTGCATTTGCACATGTTGATGTTTTTACGCACATATGTGTATGTGCAAACATTATGCCAGTCACCTCTTCGCAGAATACAGATTTGGGGCATTTTTGTGACATTAATATGAAAAATCCCACTAAAAGCACCAGTTTTCTGCCCATGTGCATGAGGTCTAAAGACTAAGTCCAGCCAGACAGTTGTTTATAACCAAAATGCCCCGACTCCATTGCTCACACTAACCATTATTACAGTTGTGCTCAAAAGTTTGCATACCCTGGCAGAAATTGTGAAATTGTGGCATTGATATTGAAAATATGACTGATCATGCCAAAAAATGCTGCTTTTTATTGAAGGATAATGATCATATGAAGCCATTTATTATCAAATAGTTGTTTGGCTCCTTTTTAAATCATAATGATAACAGAAATCACCCAAATGGCCCAGATCAAAAGTTTACATACTCTACAATGTTTGGCCTTTGTACAGACACTCAAGTGAGACACACGGGTTACGATGCCAATAATAGGTTAATGTCCCACATCTGTGGCTTTTTAAATTGCAATTAATGTCAGTGTATAAATAGTCAGGGAGTTTGTTAGCTCTTATGTGGAAGCACTGACTAGGCTAGATACTGAGCCATGGGGATCAGAAAAAAACTGTCAAAAGTCCTGCGTAACAAGGTAATGGAGCTTTATAAAGATGGAAAAGGACATAAAAAGATGTCCAAAGCCTTGAATATGCCAATCAGTACTGTTAAATCACCTATTAAGAAGTGGAAAGTTCTGGGATCTCTTGATACCAAGCTAAGGTCAGGTAGGCCAAGAAAGATTGCAGTCACAACTGCCAGAAGAATTGTTTGGGATACAAAAGGAAACCCATAGGTAAGCACAAGAAAAACACAGGCTGCCCTGGAAAAAGACAGTGTGTTTGTTTTGAAGGAGCACAGTATGATGAAACTTGAACAAAAATTAGCTGCATGGTCGAGGTGCCAGAAAGAAGCCTTTACTGCATCAGTGACACAAAAAGGCCCGGTTAGGCATGTCATGGTGTGTGTCAGGCATATTGTAACCAGGCTTTTTTGTGGCATTGGTGCAGTAATAGCTTCTTTGATTGGTCACAGCTTGTCACATGGTACAAGGCTGTTGTGAATAGCCTTGTACCATGTGACCTCTGTGATTATTCACAGATTTCACACGTAGTAAGCAATGATGTCACAAGTGACATCTTGCTTACTACTTTGCATGTGATCACTGATTGGCCAATCAGCGATCACATGATCGGGACCTCGTACAGAAGTCCCGTCTGACGATCTGGAGGACACAGCGGGCACCGGATCGCCGTTTATAAATGGCCACCCAACCCTGCAGTGCCACCGACCGGCCGTTTATATACAACGGCCGGACGGGAGGTGGTTAATAGGTGATTTAACAGTACTGATTGGCATATTCAAGACTTTGGACATCTTTTTATGTCCTTTTCCATCTTTATAAAGTTCCATTACCTTGTTACGCAGGACCTTTGACAGCTCTTTTCTGATCCCCATGGCTCAGTATCTAGCCTAGTCAGTGCTTCCTTGTAAGAGCTAAATAACTCATTGACTATTTATACACTGACACTAATTGCAATTTAAAAAGCCACAGATGTGGAACATTAACCTCTAATTGGCATTTTAGCCCGTGTGTGTCACCTTGTGTGTCTGTACCAAAGCCAAACATTCCAGGACATGTAAACTTTTGATCCGGGCCAATTGGGTGATTTCTGTTATCATTATAATTTAAAAAGGAGCCAAACAACTATTTGATAATAAATGGCTTCATATGATCATCATCCTTCAATAAAAGAGCATTTTTTGGCATGATCAGTCATATTTTCAATATCAATGCCAAAATTTCACAATTTCCGCCAGGGTATGTAAACTTTTGAGCACAACTGTATATCACTTGTTTTTAGAAAGGTTGCCCCACCATCAGTTCTGTGTTCATTACTGGAAAGATTTAAAATAGAACCATAGGCAAAGTTAAAAATTTACATGTATGATGATGTCCTCATGTAACATAGTTTTATTACATGGTGATCGGACCAATAGGTCTGTTATTTTAAAACGTTCTTTAACAGACC